TTGCGACAGCGTCCAAGGCTTGCCTATCCGCTTCGATGTTTTCTCTTATTTCGGGTTTGATTTCTTGGTGGCTAATAGGGGGCCTTCAAAGTATCGTCTTATCGATTTTCACCCTCATTCCCGTGTACACTCATTGGGGCACCGGAAATTGACTTAATAAGTACAGCGTCCCGATGAACAACCTAATCCTTCAGCCACTACAGGACAGTCCTACGCGTCCCGGGTTCTGCGATGGGGCGGATGCCGCGACGATTACACATGGAGTGTTACAGCCTGTCGAAGGCCTGATTAACTCTATGCGTCTGACCTGCGATTTCGTTCTCGATCTCGCTGTTTATTGATCTGTTACTCCATTGGTATGTAAACGTCTCCACAGATGTGAGGCTGTCAGTGGCTTGGAAGATTGCCAGCTGGTGGTTTACATCGGACCCCACACGGGACTGGGACACAGGCAACAAGGGCTCCATATAAACGTGACCCTTACGTCATTCTCGTTTACACGAGATCCAAGACCCCGCCTCATGAATGAGGTCTACTGCAGATGTGGTTGGGGAGCAGGTCTTTTTAAGTAGGTTAGGCACTCTATTTAGCGTCGTCGGTCATTGCACCCACGCCCACATCCGGTCATCTTACTTCGGTCTTATCGTCGAAGGATGGCGTGAGATGAGAGTGCATGAGGTGAATTCGACGAAGGTCCGCTTAACTATGAAAGAATCCACGCGCAAATTACGGCTGCGCCCAGCCGGTGGAGCGCTGGTGGATCCCATGGTCTGTGGCAGCGGAACCATTGTACTGCGCTAGTGGCTGTCTCATTGGTGCGTTTGGCTTAGAATCCAGTTACGAGTCTTGGCCAGATCGAATGGAAACGGCATGAAGAGGTTCACTGCAAATGGCGTCTGGCTCACTAAATGTGTACGCTCATGCTGAGGGAGGTAGACAGCCATAGTTAAAGATGGCAGAAGCAAGGTCTTCGTCTGTGGAACAAAAGCTTGTTAAAACGTCTTACGAAAGTCGAAGGCTTGTCGCTGGAATTGGTCAATTGGGTGGATTTGAGACGATGGTGGACCTCGTCCATTCTCTAGGGTCCATGATAGCCTTAAAGC